TTTTCATCGCATGAAAACCCATTCTTACTTTCCTTTTCTCTGAGGCTTTCTGATCCCAAGTCTAAGGACCGTACTTTTAAAACCTTTCGCCAGGAGTGGCATTCGAATTCGCCGGGCGGTCGGGAATTTCGTACTGTTAAAGCACACACACACACACAACACACACACACACACACAACACACACACACACACACACACACACACATATATATATATATATATATATATATATATTATATATATATATATATATATATATATATTATATTATAAATACGCGCATGTATGTACTATGTTTATTATTATATACATATATAATATAATATATATATAATATATATATATATATATATATATATATATATATTATATATATAATATATATATATATATTATATATATATTATATATATATAATAATATATATATATATATGTATATATATTATATGTGCGTGTGTGTGTGAGTACATATATATTCACACCCACATATAATGTACACACAGACATATATACATATATCCATACATTTACATATGTATACATAGTTTTCTCTTTTCAATAACAAGTTTAGTTAGTGTATATGTTCTTTAACGTAGGTATGCGAGTGTAGGAGAAACAAACACTTCACTCATCTAAAAGTATCCGAATGGTATTATTGTAATTAATTTGTGGCCACACACACACACACATATATACTTTTACACACACACACATACAACACACACACACACACACACACACACACACACACACACACACACACACACACACACACACACACACACATACACACACACACACACACACACACACACACACACACACACATACATATATATATATATATATATATATATATATATATATATATATATATATATATATATTTATTATTCATCTTAGTAAATAGGCGTCAGTCGATCTCTCTCATATATGTATGTATATATCATATATATAATATTATATATATTATCACACACACACACACACACACACACACACACACACACACACACACACACATATATAATATATATATAATATATATATATATATATTATATATATATATACAATGCACATACAGACAGACGTCGGTCTAGTCGTTTAGTGTAAATTGAGGTTAAAGCTACTTACTATTGAATCTATTGTTTTAATATACGCCTGCTATCTTGGCTAGAAATGTCACTTACCCGGCAGGATACGCTCACTCTTACAAAAATTTCTATTTTACTCTTTTGGCGCCCAAGAAATATTAGATATTAGAGTCTATTTTTCTCATCTTGTTCTCATCAGTATATAGATGAAAGTCGCATAAATTTTCTTTCAAACTGGGTGTCTTCAGGGTTATTGTATCTTTTCCTGTGTATGATATTCTTCAGTTTGTCCTTATTTTACACATCAAATAAAGTAAATAGATTAATAGAAAATTAAACACTTGCATGGTTTGGTCAATCTTCATAGATTCTTCATTCTATCAATATGGCATAGACGAGGTTTCAGGTACCAATAATGTAGTGTATTTTCTAAAGTATTTTTGAACTCAGGGTAAGAGGGAAATATTCACATCTTTTTACATAAACTTTATAGTTTGTTTGTATTTTCTATATACAATAAATAAGTCATAAACTTTTTTTAGTTAGGTGCAGAATACAGCGAGCGAGGAGCTTCACGTGGACCTTCGCGAGCTTTGCGGGCGTCCTCCTCGGCGGCGAAGGCGATCTGGTCGAGGACGAACTGAGGGATCGGGTGGGGGAACTCGGGAGCCACGGGCAGGAGGTCGGACTGAGGCTGGTAGCCGTTCTCGTCAGCCACGAATGTGACGCGGACGTCGGTACCGTCAGGGGCGGTGTATCTAAAATGGACAGATGACGGCTTCAGTTATTAAGCGTATAATTATTTTTAATCATAAATAAAGTAGATATGACGTACTAAAGTAAGAACATGCTATCAAGAGGAAATTGTACACGTCACTTACGAGTATTGTCCAGCCTTGACGACGGCGCCCTCATCGCCGTCGGGAGAGCCAGACTGAGACAGGACAATGCCGTTGGCAGTTTCCACGTCGAAGTTGTACCTTCCGTCGTCTTCGAGGACGCGGTCGTCCCTCAGGATGGCCACCTCCTCGCTGGATGCAGCTCTTGGCCCATCGTAGCTGTACTGAGGGGCGGCGACGGCCACGGCGGCCACACAGGCGATGATCAGCTGCAATTACGAAAATCGCCAATCATTTATAAATGCACACATTTTTTAGTCATACTCTTATAATAATCGTGCACGCTGAGTAATTCTTCTTCATTATATCATTTGATGTTCACAAGCAAAGCGATGATATTCGAAGACCACTAGTACATAGATATTAAATGCTACATCCATGGTTAGTAGACTACTTACGAACTTCATGGTTCAGATGTTAGTGATGCGTCAGTGGAGAAGAGAGGTCTTTTATAGCGAATCTGGTGCGAATGTCTCCCACAGCCTACAGACCGACCTTGACC